TATATATACTGTATATATATATATACTGTATATATATGCAGTTTGCCTGCAAAATGCAGGGAGGGATTGAAACCCCCGACCTTGAGATTGGGGGAATCAAACCGATTACGCTGCCCCAAACCACTTCGAAACAACTGAACATTATGAACACTATTCAGTACAGTACCTTGATTTTATTGTTAATAAATTCAAGGGCGCCCTCTATGGTGAATCCTTTCCATAATCCATCACAAGCTAGTATTAAAAACCTGCAAAAACCCATTGAGAAATTTTGTTACTATTTATTATTCATCCTACAATCTCCTACAAGGCTTTATGAAAATTAAAAACACATTTTTCAGCCTTGTTAAAAATTGTACATCAAAATCAACTTTTTTCCAAACTGGAGGTAAGATAGCAAGCATAAATAATGATTTTGCCACATTTTTATTATTTTTTTTTTTTATTAAATAATATTTTGGACAAGACAATTGTTTATCCAAGACAAACCAAAATACATGATGCTCTACATAAAGTCCACGGCTTCTCTGCTGCATCACCGAATCTTTGGAACAAACTCCATCGTAAAGTTAGACAGGCCCAAACATTAAAAAAAGCTAAGGTGGCCCTCAAAACGCATCTTTTCAATAATTATTAGTGATTAAGCACTGTGAGACCCTGCAGATGCCTTGTGTATGTTGTTTATAACATAAATATACATATATACATATTCATATTATTATTATTATTATTAGCTTTTATTAAACTTATTACAAGACTTAAGCCAGGCACCCACTGCTTAGTACGACTGCCGTACGATGACCCCAACTCCAACCCATGTGAGCGCTAGAGAACTCGACACCTTCTGCTGATTGTTGGTGCCAGTCTAAACAAATCGTCATTAAAGACGATCATTGTGTTCTACGTAAAATCACATGCCCTGCATAAGGGACAGGCGCATAGGCTGGTTTTCGGCCTGGGAGAAGCAAAAATTTAAAATGGAGAATGTGGAACTAAGGGCGTGGTTCTGCTGAAAAACGCCAAAACATGTGTCTTTTATAAATGGTTAAATTCCTTCTGAACACGTTTCTAGTGAAGAGTGCAACTAATAAAAACATGGTAATGCGAGCATTGGCAGGTGGGCGGAGCTTAAATGACGGTCACCAACGGAAGTTGAAGCTGACCTTACTTCTTGCGAGCTACATGCTGCGAAAGAAGTAAACAACACACCACAAAAGTATGAAATAAGTATAGTATGATCTTCAAGCATGTCATCCTATTGGTTTAATTTTTGAATCTTTGCCCTGAATTTCCCGAGGACAAGCGATCAAACCAACGAAGAGGTCATTTTGGGTCACCGATGGGTCATGACTAACACGGTATTGCGTTGCAGCTGAAAAGTGTACCACAAAACATACGTTTTCTGAACGCGAACGCTATAATGAATGCGTGTAAAAACATGCATTTTTAGAACGCATTCCTAACCGTGTTATTGGAAGGCAAGCATCTTAACCACCCGGAAAAATCTACAACTGCATATTGGTGAGAATGTAATCATGCCTACCTGTCTTTCTCTGTAAGTTGGCATTTTTTAACATCTGGGATACAAGTGATTCCGCAATGCTTGAACCGCCCATCCCCCAACGATCGAGACACTTCCAATATTCCCATCACACGCCCATTTCTAAAAAAACAAATACTTTTTGACAGCATCTAAATCGTCATGTTTGATTCATTCTCCAGAATATTTTATTACACAATTTTTCTTTTACGAACAGTATTTTGTAGAAAAAAATACATGTATTTTATTTTTTGCAATTTCTACAAAGTAATAATAATAAATGTGGTAAATAAGTAGTCCTTTACAAAGATTATAAGCACTACTGCCCATTACACCCATTGGCCAAATTTGCTGACCTGGTTAGGCTGTAGCTGCTTACCTTACAGTCCCTCCAGCCTTCTGAATCCTCATCCGTTCTTCATAATCTGTGGGGTTGTGGTCTTTAGATAACGGCAGAAAGTGATCGTTCTTAGACTCCTCATTAAATCGACATAATAAGGCCTAAAAATCAAAAAGGTTATTATTAAGCGTTTCATTGGTTGTTTGATGTGTCATTCAAAAACGTTACCAATGATAATAAGATAAAACAAATGCAAAAAAAAATGTACGAAAACAAAATACAGTATTTAAATGCCTTGGTGATCCATTAAGCCTTAAAACACCAGAATTAGTTTCCAGGTTTACATAGTAGTTTATGGCAAATCTGTATTCATGCCTCTCAACATCAAATTTATTTTACTTCAGGCAAGACTATTTTTTTACTTTGTTCAGCAAATCTGCAGATGCAAATATTGATGATTTCGAATAAAAATAAAATATTATTTTTGGCCAATTAATGCACCCGCACCATGAGAAAGTGGAAATTAAAAAAAAAAAAATGTTTTTCTTTATTTTTATTATGCCTTCCGTTGCCTTGAAATCTCCAAAGATAAGATATGTATATTTCTTCCTAATTATATAAATTTGAAGCATTTAACTATCCTATTTTACATTCACCAATAAAATTTTATTTTTATTTTCTCCTCTGTCTGGTTGATTTCAGCAAATCTATTTGCTAAACAAGAAAACAAAATTTTATTTTTATTTTTATTCTGCCCTCCTCCAATAATCATTAAAAAAAATAAGTATGCAAAGCAAGGCCCATAAAAAAGTCTAGCTTATTTTAAAAAGAGTTTAAAAGCAGGAATTCATATTAAAATAATGTATACAAAAATTATAATCAGAAAATAATTTTGGTTATTGGTAAAAATGTTACATTAGCAGTATTTAATTTTATTATTATTAAACTTGTAGGGACAATAGCTAAGGATATGCCAATAGCAAACTTAGCAAGTTTACTCAGTGGAAATAAATAATAATAATAATAATAATAATAATAATATGTCGTTCTTATATAGCGCTTCATGCCTTTACAAGGCCTCTAAGTGCTTCACATTACTACCCCGGTCAATGGATCTAACACATATGGAACACATTGAAACACCAAATTAAATTAGTACTGTAAATGAAATTATATTATCATTCCATAAATTGCAGCTTGTAATCAGCGCAAATCCTTAACATACAAACAAGATTCTCTACATAATTAGGTCTCATTATAAGGAATATTGGGTGGAGATGTTTTGGTGATGAGAAAAAATTCCTGTTCGTGACAGGAATTGAACACAGCATCGTAGGATTGAGAGGCAACTATCGAAAACATGTGACATGCCTAAATATGGTCATGATGACATCACATCATGACCATATATAGGCACATCATGACTATATATGGGCATACAACAGTTTTTGCCAAAGAAAATTTGGTAGTTTGGACAAAGCTTAACAAAGAAGCCACAGCTTCACCTAAGTAATTAATATTTTTATTCCCGTTTCACACATTACGCAAGTGTCTTGGATACGCCTTGTTTGGACTATTCATTTATTTTCAATTTAAGTTGCTAAAAGGAAATTGGCATATATCAGTTCTTCCAGGTATTAAGTATTCACAAAATAACACAATACTATAAATGGAAAACCAAAAAAAAAGGATATAATGTGAAAAGTTGTGAAAATGAATTAATTAAAAAGAGAACCTTACTATCACCTATGTTGGCAATGTAGAGAGCGTTGTTCACCACAAGTACACAGATAGCTGTAGATCCATCTTTCCAATTTGGTTTGCTATTTAAAACAAGAAAAACATTTTAATTGTCACATATTATGGGTAAGTCGAGTGGTCGAGCTGTAAGGCAGGGGCTCTGCTAACTGCAGCCCTGACATTGGCACTGGTTCGAGCTGCTCCTCTGATAAGGATTTAAATATGGAAGGTCCAGTGTATACATCTGGGGCATGTGCACTTTAAAGAGCCTGTTGCAAATTTTCGGAAGATTAGGGAGTTACCCTAATGCTATGATTAATTTCAGCCCCTGTCGTGGAATGATGTGAACTAAGCGTCTCTCTACGGCCGCTAAGTAGTCACAGACCACACCCATATGCAATTCAACACAATGACGCTGTGAGTTATCGGTTATTCTCCTACATTTACCTTTACCCTCATTCCCTTAAGAAACTATCATTTACTTTACTTAACAGGTATAAATACAAGTGCTACACCATTTTAATTTTCTTTTTTTTAAAAATCTAAATCTAATTCAGTGAAGCCTATGGATTGTTTTATGCCAGTTGTGTATTGTTTACAAAAGCTACCGGTACTGGTCCAAATAGCCGTCCTTTCCAAGACATTTGGCAGACATTGACTTGATGTTGTCATTAGTAGGATACTGCTTTTAAAACTATATAATTTGAAGCAAACCAACAGCAACATTTTCAATATCGGAATTTAAGTTTTTCTCTTACAATATCAGAAAAATAAACGTTCATAATATCACTTAAAAATTTAATTAAACTTACTTTGCCGAAGCTTCTTTGAGGAACTGTTCATCCGTGAGTTTGAAAGAATCGATGAGGCAACGCTTTACCTCTTTGTCTAAACTGACGACATCAGTTTTCGGGAATTTCTGAATAATGTGGGTGTGGAGCTTGTTTGCAGCAAACTTTGATGCTCTGGCGCCCCCATGCCCATCGAACACTGCATAGTATGCTAATCGTGACCTGTAAATTATACATAAATATATATTTTCATATATTTGTTGGAACATATCCCAAACTATAATAATTTGAATGCTGCGCAATTATTAACAATTTTCATTTTGTAATATATTTGCCCTTTTTTTTAAGGCATTTGGCAGTGGAATATATTCATGTTGCTTATACTTGCAACTTTAATTTAACATATAAAATCATACAAATTTTAATTATTTTGTTAACTTTCAAAATCAGACTCACACTGAGGAAGGAAGGTTGTCAAGTTCAGAGGTCATGTCATCTATTATGACATGTGCATCTTGCATTTCGTCACGTTCACCTTTCATTTCTTTTATATGACCTTTTAACTTGTACATTCCTAAAAAGAAAACAAAAAATTCACAAAATTGAGAATGATTCAATTGTTTAATTCACTCTATGTGAACATGGTTTAAATCATTATATATGGATTTACGATAATCAGGGGTACACCAGTGGGTGGGCAAGATGGGTACGGGGTCCAGTTGTCTGGGACACCTGGCCAAGACGGTTGGGGAGACGTGATAAAAATCTGTCATGGAAAATTAATTGGAAATATTTTCTAAGCCAGAGACCGCTCAATATAGAATGCCATTTTCGGGCATTTAGTTGGGTTGATGTGGGTCTGACACATCTGTCAGGGAACGATGGGCCATCTGACGAAGAAATGCTAGTGCCACCCCTGCCAATAATTATTCACCTGGTTTCAATATCAGAGATTTTTTCTCTGTTGAAACATCCTCATTGGATGTAGACTCTGTTACTAGTTTTCGTTTCCTTTCTTCGGTGGCAACATCTGGTGTGGAGTCCAATGATGACGGTACCACTTGATCATTAGTGGATGTCACCTGACTTTTCTCAGTCACTGGGACAGCAATTCTGGCATTATTTTGATCTGAAATAGGGAAGGTTTAAAGTTCAATTAAAATCTGTATATACTGTACTGTTAATTAGTACCTCTCTCTCATTAAGCAACAACAAGAGTTGGAGGAGGAAAACACTCAGTCAAAATATTGACCCCTCTATTACAAATTCCTCGATCTGCCACCACCAAAAATCATGGTCAAGTAGTTAAAAATCACCTAAAATCATCTTATTTTGCGAATTAGCTCCCTCAACTGATCATCGCGAGCCCCCCCCCCCCCTCCCACCCACCATTTCAAGACTTCTAGATAAAACCCCCCTGGCTACGGGCTTGGCATTAAGTTACAACAGTCCAGACTTGATTGCCAACCACGTTTTTTCGTCAACTGACTCTGAGCCAGGCTTCTAGTGACTCCATCAAAAACTAACGACATGAGTTTTTTTTATAGGTGCATTATAACAATCGATTGACTGGGCCATAGGAGGAGGGCCTATATCCCTAAACAGAAATTTGTGTCTACTAGTTACTGCCTGCTTGCAGACAGTACTAGTAGTAACAAGTAACATGTACTTGTACTAGTACACAAGTACTTCATTTACAATATAGTATACTATATATAGTATACTATACTATAAATATCAATCATATTAAAAGTCAAATTTGTACGATGTAATACAAATCTCTTATACACATCTAGATGTGTATAAGAGACAGGTGCTACACCATTTCTTTCGTTATTAATTTTTTTTAAAGATTATATTTGATGTTTTTTTTCTTAAAATTTTTGTATACAGAATCGATAAATCAAATTATAAGTGAAAATGCTCATTCACAGAAGCTTCTACAAACTTTATTTTTGGACCCCCACAAAGTCTTACACTCACCGATTGTTAAAATGACAATTTTTTTTTTTTAATTATGGCCTACTTTTAAACTTATGTAATTTTTAGACTTTTTGTACATTGAAAGGGGCTGAATAATGGGAACTTAATGAATACAGTCTTCTATTCATATCTTTTACAGTTAGTTAGCATTGAAATTTGGTTATAAATATGTATCCAACATTTGTTTTAATTAGTCATGCAAATAAATATTTGTTTTGTACAAGTTTATAACCTTTAACCTTTGTATTTTTCTTATAATTTCAGTACCTGATTATACTAGCATTGTCTCTTGCACTGAATGTATTAGCTGTCTCTTATACACATCTAGATGTGTATAAGAGACAGATATAGTATAGAACAAACAAAAAATAGTAAAACTCAAATAAATATCAATCATATTAAAAGTCAAATTTGTACGATGTAATACAAATTACAAACGTTCATTCACTAAAGAATTAGGAGGCAGTATAAAAAGTACCATCCAATTGTGTAAGAAAATAGACATAGGATAAAGAACCAAATAACTCTCTACTTTATACTGCATATAAAAAATATAAAGTATGCAAGAAAATAGCCATTTTAAATTGATAATTATTATTATTAAATTAATTAAAAACTGTGTTCATATCGCGCTCTGATACCTATTGTACATACACACAATGGACACAGCACCCTTGGCGCTCCATACAAATTACTGTGTATCGACCACCAGCCACTTCGACTCTAATCCCTAGGGTAATAAAGTACGAATTCAATCCAACTCGGCCACAGTCAACTCGGCCACAAGTTAACTCGGCCACAAGTCAACTCGGCCACAAAGAATTTGGCTACGGTCAACTCGGCCACAAGTCAACTCGGCCACAAGTCATTTACTGGTACTACACTTTGAAGGAGTAATTCATCAAGTATAAAATACTAATTCTAAATAAACTAATATAAAATAGTATTACTATACTTATTGCTGTTATTATTGTTGTTATTATTATTGTTGTTTTTATACCGTTAGTTTTAATATTACGGTAATTATTAGTCTTGGCATTAACATTATATATTGTTCAAATTTTTGCTGATGTTATTATTATTACAGTACCATATAAATAATAAATAATTTTCGATTTATTATTATTATTATTATTATTATTATTATTATTATTATTATTCTTATTATTATTCATTAGTCTTAGTATTATTATTTTAATAATAGTAATTTAAAAAGTTATTGTTATTGGTGTTTTATTGGTATTTTTCTCATATTATTATTATTATTAATATTATTGTCGTTGTTGTCACTCTATTATCGATATTATTACCATATTATTACTAAGTAGGCCTATATAAGTATCATTATTATTATTACTAATTAGTATTACTATTATTATAAAAATAAATATTATCTTTAATTTATTATTGTTGTATTATTGCTATTATCACCTTCAATATTGTTATTATCACTAATTAGTTATTAAAATTGATATTTAAATATCTTTATTATTACCATACTAATATTATTAGTATTGTTAAAATAAATATTACTATTAATGTTGTTGTGTTGTTGTTATCACCTTATTATCGTCATAATGACTAATTACTATTATTAAAGTAAATATTACTAATTTATTGTCGTTATATATTGTTGTTTAATATTATTGTTGAATTAGAATGTTGTGAGTAAACAGAAGACGAACTCATTAATAAATAACTCTTTTTAATTCATAGGCAATAGGCCTAGTATTCAAATCTCTTTTGGTATAGTGTGGTGGTCCTGTTTTACTAAAATATACTCGTACTTTATTTCAATCATATATTGAAGAAAAAGGATGCAAAAACTGAGATTTACATTAAAGAACTTGTGGCCGAGTTGACTTGTGGCCGAGTTGACTTGTGGCCGAGTTGACTGTGGCCGAGTTGACTTGTGGCCGAGTTGACCTGCATCCATAAAGTACAGCAGGCTTAGTTAGCCTGCTATTCCTAACTGTGGCCTAGCCTAGCCTAGGCCTATCCTGAACTGAAATTTGTCCAACCCAACTGCCCCGCCTGGCCTGCTGGACGAAAACAAACATGATTATTTACCTCCATCTGGATCTGGAAGATCTGAAAACAAATCCATTTTAAGAAAATGTGTTTTCCGGACCTAGCAAATATATAGGATAGGGGGGTAGGCCTAGCCTACATAATTGTTGTACAGTTCGGCTCAGTCACAACCCTGACAACACCAATTTAAGCATGCAGGCAAGATGCAGGGCATCAAAAGGTCGCATGTAGGCCTAGTAGAGCTCCGATCCTAGAGAGAGAGAGAGCTGGGAGAGCAATCGTCGACGAGGCGGCATTACTCTAGAGGGCAGTATCAGAGATGGCGGTAATTCCAATGGAAGGAAGGGTCAGCCTTCGATGGTTTTGTCAGGGGGCTGGAACGTTCTTACTCCCGTTTGCTGTAGATCTTCTAAAGCCAACTGAAAGTGAAGTTAATAGTTTATACATTGAGTACAAATTAATGTGCATACTACTTTATGTTGCAGTGAATTATGTGTTAATATTTGTTACACTGAAACGAAATGCCCAACAGGTAGGTAGGCAAAACTCAATTCACCAAACCCTTGGAAACGTTTATTTGTCGCTGAGTGGTGTTAACATTTTATAGCCTAGGGGCCTAGCCAAGCGTCGCTTAATATATTATTGCTGAATATGTTAATTTTACTTTTATGTTATGCGCAATATGTCGGATAAACCACACAAATCAAAACAATAATCCCGTTTTCACTGAAATAAACGTTTAATTTATCTCTGATTACCCATCTGTTACTGTAAAAGTGACCCAGCAGGCCCACCCAGCCAATAATGCCAATTAATCAATCAATCAATCAATCGATGATAATGGTAAATATAATAAAAGATTGTAGGCTAAGGATGGTATTTCAGTGTTATGCATTACAAGGCAGCTAGGTTGGCGAGCTGGTGGTAGCCACTGTGTGTGTGTGCTGAACCTTGGAGATCTTTGGTCCACGGATCAAATTCCCATCGCTACTCTCCTTGCGTGTGTTTCAGTTGGAGGGCTGAAATAGTTTCAAAAGCACACCATTTTTTCGAAGGAGGTGTTTAACACGTTGGTCCCATGTGCAATGTGGGCCATGTGCATGCTAAAGAAAGCAGTCATTCTTGAGAATAGAATAGGGGATTGTCCCAATTCAACACCAGAAGAACCGTACTTCGAGATGTGAGGTAATACAGTACTAGGCCAAGGCTTTAATAACCTACTCTAAAAAATATACTTATCGGTTATTTTTCCAGATTGCTGTGAGAGCCTGTATGCTAGGTGTTGTATTTGGCCTCGGTTTGATTCTAGGCACGCAGTCCACAATTTTGAGGATCTTCGGCTGGTACTGGTGTCTCTTGAGCTTCTTCCATTTCTCGGAGTATTTCTCAACATCTATATATAACTTGGACAGTTTAACGCTCGAGTCATTTCTACTGAGTCAGAGCACAGCGTACTATGCAGCCGCTTTCGCTAGCTGCTCCGAATTTATTATAGAAATGTATTTCTTTCCTGGTGAGTATGTGTAATTTCTGAGTTAAATATAATGTAAGCGGGCCTATTTAGGATGTACTGTAGGTCACCGTTCCGCAACCTAGGGGTCGCGACCCAATGTTTAGGTCACGGAAACATTTAGATGGGTCGCATAATCTCTTCAGTTCATGAAAACTACTTAATACGAACAAGGACAAACGAAATCAAATTACAATAAACGAAAGTGAAGTTTAATTTTGTAATGCATTTGTTATCATAGCTTCATTTGTTATTTTAGTATTTATATAGCGCCTATTCCATTAGGTTACAAAGCGCTTTATATTATGTTAAATAAATATTGGCCTCTATGAAAACATTTGTACTTCAGGTATGACAACTTGAAAGTGTTACTTTTGTTCCTTTCAGTGTGTTTGGCTTTTAGCTGAAAATTATAAGGACAAAACATTTTTCTCTTCAATTTAATGTGTCTATGTCTTCCCATAGGCCTAACCCATATTTCTGGTAGCAAATCTATGAATTTGTGTAGGCCTGTAGTAAAATGTCTGTAAATAATTCATTTTAAAAAATCTTATTGGAACATTTGATAACTTACGTGCTTTGTTAAATAAGTAATTCAAAGTTATAATTTCATTTTTATGGGTTTTAAATTGATTGTGTGGGTGATCTTTGGAGTAGGCCTATCTTTTAATCGATTGCTAAAAGAATCAAGTGAGTTCTTCTGATACCCCCCACGCGTATAAAACGACATGGACGTAATTTATTGACTTAATTCACTAAAACTAAAAAAATAATACCATATTCAATCATTTACCCATGAAATTCAGATGAGAAATTTGGCTTCTGGTTTGATGGGTCACGTCTGAGTGCTTGACATATATTTTGGGTTGTGGGCTAAAAAGGTTGCGGAACAGGGCTGCAGGGTAACACTAAATAATCAAGATAAATACACTGTACATTTATGCCAAATTTCTCAATTTTTTCTACTGTGATTTGCAGAATTTATTTGTAACTATTGTGTTATGGTGTGCTTAGAAAGTCACTTTAAAATGTTTACTCACTAAGTAATGTTGATCTATAGTGCATTAAAATTTATACTTATTTATAAATTATTTTGGGCTCTTGATAAAAAAGAAATAGTTTTAAACAAAAAAAAGCCACCCCTAGAAAAACAAACGTCAGGAAAAAAATGAGAAGAAATTTGTACACCAAAAAAATGCATCTTCAAAGCACTATTAAAAGAAGAAACTGTTTGCGCAGGATTTTGTGTTGTTACAGATTATTTCTTACATTATTTTTATGTTTAAATTCTCATTTTTCTCCAATACAGGTTTAAAAACATACTGGTTTGTAAGTTATTTTGGGCTACTGCTTAGCATGGTTGGCGAGGTGATGAGAAAAGCAGCCATGTTGACTGCCGGTAAAAGCTTTAACCATTATATTCAATTTGAGAAAGCAAGCGACCATCACCTGGTCACCCACGGACTTTATTCCTGGTCACGGCACCCAGCGTATGTTGGCTGGTTTTACTGGAGTGTGGGAACACAGGTAGGGAAGAATTTTGATTTGTTTTACATGGTGTTTTCCGATGACGTTTTTTGTGTCAGGAGAAATAATAATACGGATGATGTTTGCCTTACCCGATGTGTTATCGTACTGAATGCTCAGTACGTTCTTAAATGCTTGTGAAAAAACATACACATACGATAACACGTCGGGCAAACATTCATATTATTTCTCCCGACACCATCAGAATAGCATTGTAGTACCCCCTCTGCTACTTGAGGATCAGATTCACCACTAGCCATCAAGTGTAAGCTCAATGGTCTAGTGGTTAAGACACCAGGCTAGTTATCTGGAGGTCGTGGGTTCGATTCCCAATCGAATCACTTGCAACATATTTTTTTCACAAGCATTTAGGAAGGTACTGAGAGATTCAGTACGATAAAATATGAGGTAGGGCAAACATCATTCGTTTTACACAGTGTTATTGAATTTGTAGGCAAATAGAGGAATAGCCCTTTTCACCTGAAAAAGATTTGAGTGGATAGAAAATGATATTTAATCTCAATTTGTTGAACATTACACTTAAATCTTCTTTGGTGTTTTTTTTTTCAGATCATGCTCTGCAATCCGTTGTGTACAATTGGCTTTGCATACACATCTTGGAAATTCTTCAAGGAACGCATTGAAGATGAAGAGATAACATTATTGAACTTTTTCGGGGAAGAGTATCTAGATTACCAAAAAGCGGTACCGACGCGGCTACCGTTCATTCAGGGATATAAGCTGCAATACTGAGAACTCCCTAAGCGGTTCTGTGACTTTACACCAGCGACTAAAGTGCGAATGCACTTTATTCCATTTAGAACAAAAATCTAAAGGGAGGCCTTCCAAAAAATATCGCTGCAGTTC